AAAGTGTAGAGAATAATACTTTTGAAATGTTTAGATTTTTCTCCTATTTTTTTTGTGGTAAAATATGACATAAAATTTGCCGTATAAGCCATATTTAAATGTACTATTACATTTAAATTTAATTTTAATTTCTGATTGGTGTAGGAAACACTTTGGCTTCCCAGATGGCTCAGTGGTAAAGGATCCGCCTGCTAATGCAGGAGACACAGGAGATGCAGGTTCAGTCCCTGGGATGGGAAGATCCCTTGGAGGAGAAGCCGGCAGCCCACTCCAGCATTCTTGCCTGGAGAATTCCGTGGACAGAAGAGCCTGGCAGGCTACAGTTCACAGGGTCACACAGAATCAGGCACAGCTTAGTGGCTCTGCATGCACACATGCATAGTAAATACTTAGAAATCATTTATCTTATCAATTTAAGCGTTATATTTCAGTTGCATTACACTGCTGCAGCGACATTAATTGCACCCAGTGTAATTTTCCGTGTGTCTTTTGTGCTTTGACCCACACTGCTGTTCCTAATTGTCCTTTCAAAGATCACCAGCTTCCACCCTCCACCTTCTCAGCCCCTTCGCCAAAGTGGACAGTACTGACCACCTCCTTCCTAAATCTCTTTCCTCAGCTTCCCAGACTCCTGCTCTCTCCCTGTTCAGCCATTTCTCTAAGCCCTTCTCCTACTGCTCCCTAAGGTAGGTTCTTCAAGGACCTGCCTGGTACCCCTTAGTTCCGGCTGTTCGATTGGTTGCTTCTGTGTTCTCATCCAGTGTTACTGCTTCAACCAACTCCTTAATTCAGATCGCTCATTTAAGCTGAAGCCTGGACCAAAAGCTTAGCTAATAGCTTACGCCTCCAAGGCCTTGTCATCCTCTGATCTCCACCTGCAGGTCCCATTAACACCTCAAATTCAGTGTGTCCCAAAGGGGACTCATTATCTTTTCTTTCAAACCTATGCTCCCCCTGCCGTATACTCTCTCCACATCTCTCCACGTCACCATCATCTTCCCACTCACCCAGTGCAGAAATACTGGCATCGTCTTTGCCCTCCATGTACATTCTGACTCTCATTTTTATCTCTGCTGTAGCTCTGCCACCTCACCCTACCCCCATGACATCTTTTTCATTCCCTGCTTCCCTTCTTTAGCCTGGGAGACGATAGTGGACCTCTCTTGGGTTTCCCCATGTCTACTATCTATCTTCCACTCCATTTCACACATGGTTAATACACTGCTGCTGCTGCTAAGTCGCTTCAGTCGTGTCTGACTCTGTGCATCCCCATAGACGGCAGCCCACAAGGCTCCCCCATCCCTGGGATTCTCCAGGCAAGAACACTGGAGTGGGTTGCCACTTCCTTCTCCAATGCATGAAAGGGTTAATACACTAGTCTCCCCAAAATACAGTTCTCATCAGAAATCCTCAGTAGCTCCCTCTGTTTTGAGAATAAACCCTAACCTCCTCAGCCGAGCCTTGAAGGTCCTCTCTGAACTGGTGCTGACTCTCCTGACCATCACATACCCTTTGCTCCAGCCAAAGACACCAGCTGTCTGACCTCTGGACACATCCCACACTTCCTTCCTTACCTATCTCCATTCAAAATATGGGTTTCATAGTCTTTTAAAAGACCTCTTTTCTTTTCGTTAAAATATGAGTAACAAAATAAGAGATACTGACCAAAGAGAAGATTGCCAAATTCCACAAAGTGGAATCACCCACCTCCTATTTCCTGTACCAAACAGAAAACACACTGCAGATTATTCTTTTCTGATAGGGTTACAAACAGAGCTTTGTTTGCTCATGAAATTCACCAGCTTGGAGTAGAACCATTACCTTTTGAGAACTCAAACATTTTCTTAGTGACTCACCTGTTGGGGAAAGCATCAACTTTCCTGCTCCGAATTTCTGGTAACAGAAAAAGGACTCTGGTAGCAGATAAGATAGTAACAAAAGCTATCACTTCAAACCTGAAATCTGGTGACTGAGAGTTCTAAGAAGTCAAACTGTACTAAAGATGTGATGCAGAAATTAAAAGGAAACTTCAGCCTGTAGAAAACACTGGAGGAACAGGGGAGAGAGAGACTGTAGGGTGCTTCAATGGGTACTTATTTCTCCTGTATTTCAGTACCCAGGCCCTTGACCGTACCAGGAGATGGCATCAGAATGCTTCTAAGAATCTCACACACACATTTCATCGGTCCAGGCACACCAAAAGAAAATAGCCCTTTTGGAAAACGTAGGTGTGGCATCCTTTAATCCATTTGAGAAGACCCAAGTGGTATATCTTTTGGGCTTTCTTGGTGGCTGAGACAGTAAAGAATGTGCCGGCAATGCAGGAGACCTGGGTTCAATCCCTGGGTTGGGAAGATCCCCTGCAGGAGGACATGACAACCCACTCCAGTATTCTTGCCTGGAGAATCCCCATGGACAGAGGAGCCTGGTGGGCTACAGTCTGTGGGGTCACAAAGAGTCAGACACAACTGAGTGACTAAGCACAATATATCTTTCTGTATATACAGTATCTGAAATTTTAGACTCTTCTTTTGGATTACTTCTCCACTTAGTGCTATTTCTGCCCCTGTGGCCTTTGGGATGTTCAAAAGCAAACTGAGGCTGCAACTTCTGAGGCTCAAAAGCCCTTTGAGCACTAAAAGCCCTCAAAAATTCAACTAAACACAAGTTTAGTAAACTTTTATGTTTTCTTGTCTGAGAAAGATATTCTAGTATTTACAACCTAGGCTTGAATCCTTTGGTGAGAGCTACTAGTTATGTCACCTGGGAGAGGTATTTAACCTCCTTCAGCCTCAGGATATTCTTCTATAAAATGGGATTATTAAGATTACTTTGCAAAATTGTTCTAAAGATTAAAAATAATAATAATAATATTGTAAAAATCAAAGCTCAAGACCTGAGCTTTGGAAAAGCTCTCATTATAGTAAAATTATTTTTAACACTGTAAATGTGGGTGAAGAGGAAGACTAGCTGGTTCAAGTAAAATCCTTTTTGTGTTTACAAGACACGCGAGAGATTTTTCTTTAAAGGCAAAAAAAAAACAAACTGTAGTATTAGATAAGCTACTGTGTGCCCTTCCGATCTGTTTCCATTTAATATTCTTATTTATTTAGTATTCTTTTGATCACTCCTTTTTAAAAGCAAAATAAAATGCAAGGAGCATTTCACTATTTCCTGTGCTAGATCTTCCCATCATGGACTTTGATTCCCAGAACAGAGCTTGATTTTCATCTAAGGGTCCCGCTCCCCCACTTTTAGCTCCTGTGGACTGGTGGAGGCTTCACCCCCAACTCCAGGACTGGAGCATGTGGCCCAGAGATAGCCAATCAAAATACCATATTCTCTAACCACAGTCATTGATTCAGAGCATGCGACCTATGTCAATCCAATGAGAGTGTCACAAAGGAACTTGAGGAGCCCCTGGGAAGACACTCTTTCCAGCAGTGGACAGACGGAAGAGGGTGTGAGGCTGAGGCTGCTGCGGCCATGTTGTCTCCACACGGCAGTTGGTCAGGAAGCCAGCGCAAAGGAAGGCAAGCTGAGCAATGGAGAGAGCTCAAAGCCCAGAACAGTATGTAATTTGAGCACAGGAGAGGGGAAAGTCCAGACTGAAATGGCAGAAGGGGCAAAGCATGAAGGAATTAAAAAGTGAAAGAGGAGAGAGAGAGGAGGGGAACCTGGAGAGGCAAAGGGTGGATACGATACATTAACGGGGGAAAGGACAGAGCAGCTTCTCTATTTGTTGAGGTCCAGCTCTTCCTGTCCTCTACCTTCTTCTCAAGGTCCTCCTCTATCACAGAAGTTCAGTTACTTGTGTAGGGGAGGAAAAATATTTTTCCCCCACCCTTCTAGTTTCTTGTTTAAGAACCCTTGTAATAAGAGAGAGATTAATAAGAGGAAAACAAATTTAATTGCATACATATATATTAACAGTAGCCCCACAAAGATATGAGACTCAAAGACATGACGAAAAACTTTGATAACTTTTAAACAAAGACACAGTAAATTTGTGGCAAATTAACAAAGGGATTTGAGTTTGGAATAGTAAATTGGTGATGATGTAACAAGGTTTATTTATATAGCCTTTGCAGTCCTAAATTCCCGATCTCAGATGATAAGGATGTTTTCTGCATTCCTGGTCAGAGAAGGTTACCTTTCACATGGAAGACTTGTCTCCTGCCTTCAGGAGGGCACAAGAGGGTCAGAGTGTCATCCTGTGTCCTGTTGTTTCTAAAATTCCTTTAATTCAAAATAGTCAATTCCAAAGTGGTATATTTTGGGGTATATTTCAGACATATTCTGAACTGCTATACTAGCTATTAAAATGTACAACTTCCTTGGTACAGCTTTCTTCCTGGAATTTATTCAAAGGATATTATAAAGAGCATGCACAAAAATTTGTGTGCAAGGGCATTCACTGGATGTTATTTGAGAGAACAAAAAGTTGTAAATAATATAAATGTCCCATAATATGTGTGCATAATATTTATCCATTTTGTGTTTGTGTGCATATGTATATATATGTATATGTACATATGTAATATATACATATGTTCTATATATAATATATATTTTATACACTCACCCAGTCTGAGAGGAGATACACAAAAATGTTATCAACAGTAATTGTCTGGTGGTGATTATGGGAGGTATTTAAGTTATCCATTCGCTTACCTCTGTATTCTAATTTATTCTACTAAAAACATGTATTACTTGAGGCGTGAAAGAAAAAATAACCAAGTGTCAAGGTTTCAACCAGGGTAGAGCTCAGCTACTGCTGATTTGTTACCAGGAGCTGTTCCCAAGAGCCAGGTAGGGGGCCTCCAGCCCATCCCCAGGCAGAGGCACCACCTGTGGCCCTCCTCTGGGGCTAACTTGGACGGCAGCTGCAAAGCTGAGCTTGGCCCCAGAAGCCTTCCCTTTGCTGAAAAGGGGTACATAGCACATGAAGATGTCACTCACTGGGCCCCAGTCATCACCCTCTCCTGTTTTCCTTCCAGGCAAACAGACCGTGGCCCAGCACCAGGTGTGCTGGGAGTGAGCTCACCAGGGGCAGGTGGTGACAGTGGAAGGCTCTCCTGAGTGCCTGCCTGGCCTCTCTAGCACTTCACTCACTGCTGGGGACCAGAGCACTAAGATGAAGAAGCACCTTCACAGAGGTAATTACACCTGTGGGGGAAAGACAGCTTGCTTTTTTTTTTAAATTGAAATATAGTTGATTTACAATATTGTGCTAGTTTCAGGTACACCAAATAGTGATTTAGTATTTTTGCCGATTATACTCCATTATAGGTTATTATAAGATAAGGATATAATTCCTTGTGCTGTATCCTTGTTGCTTATCTATTTTATATATGGTACTTTGAATCTGTTAATCCTGTATCCCTAAGTTGTCCCTCCCCACTTCCTTCTCCCCTTTGGTAACCATTGTTTTTCTGTATCTGTGAGTCTGTTTTACATATACATTTGTTTGTATTATTTTTTTTTAGATTCCACATATAGTGATATCATCCAGCATTTGTTTTTCTGACATTTCTCTAAGCATAATATTCTCTAGGTCCATCCACATTGCTGCAGATGGCAGCATTTTATTCTTTTTTATGGCTGAGTGAGTGAGATTCCACACATACACATATACATATACCACATCTTCTTAATCTGGTAGTCTGTTGATTGGGCACTTGGGTTGCTTCCAGGTCCTGGCTATTACAAGTAGTGCTTCTATGAACACTGGGGGCATATATCTTTTCAAATTAGTGTTTTTGTTTTTTCTGGCTATATACCCAAGAGTAGAATTGCGGGGCCATATGGTAGTTCTATTTTTAGTTTTCTAAGGAACTTCCATACTTAGTTTCCATAGTGGCTGCAATTCCTGTTTGTCCACGTTCTCTCCAGCATTTGTTATTTGCAGATTTTTTTATGATAGCCATTCTGATGGGTGTAAATTGATACCTCATTGTGGTTTTGATTTACATTTCTCTATATACAGTGATACTGAACATTTTTTCACGTGCCTGTTAGCCATCTGTATGTCTTTGGGAAAATGTCTATTTAGGTTTCCTGCTCATTTTTTGACTGGGTTGTTTTGCCTTTTTTTTAATATTGAGTTGTATGGGCTGTTTTTGTATCTTTTATATTAACCCATTGTCAGTCACATCATTTGCAAATATTTCCTTCCATTCTGTAGGTTGTCATTTTGTTGTGTTGATGGTTTCCTTTGCTGTGCAAAAGCTTTTAAGTTTGATTACATCTCTCCTTTTCTTGTTTTTTTTTTTTTGTTTTGCTTTTACCTCTTTTGCCTTAGGAGACTGATCCAAGAAAATACTGCTATGATTTATGTCAAACTGAAGGACTTTCTCTAACATTTCTTATAGTACAGGTCTACTGGAGATCAATAATTTCAGTTTTTGTATGTCTTAAAAAGTCTTTCTTTTGCATGCATTTTTTTGGAAGATATTTTTGCTGGGTATAGAATTCTAGGTTGACGATATTTTTCTTTCTGTACTTCAGGATTATTGTTCTTCCTGTCTTGTTACTTGCTTTGTTTCTGAAAAGAATTCTCATATCATCCTTATCTTTGTTCCTCTTTTTATGTCATAAAATTTTCCTCCGTTTTTAGATTCTCTTTTTGTCACTGGTTTTGAGAGATTTTATTATGATGTACCTTGATTTAATTTTTTTCACTTTTCTCTTGTTTGAATTTTACCTTGTTCAATATTTTTAAAATATTCTTTTTATTTTATTTTTGGCTATGCTGGGTTTTTGTTGCTTTGCGTGGGCTACTCTCTAGTTGCAATGCAAGGGCTTATTGTAGTGGCTTCTCTTGTGGTAAAGCATAGGTTCTAGGCACACATGCTTCAATAGTTTCAGCACACATGCTCAGTAGCTGTGGCACATAGGCTTAGTTGCCCACATGCACACAGGCATGTGGAATCCTCCCAGACCAGATACTGAACCCATGTTTTCTGCATTGACAGGTGAATTCTTATCCACTGTGCCACCTGGGAAGTCCAATATTTTAAAATATTCTTGAGTGTTGTTCTGGCACATCGTAAGCTACTTGGAAATAGTTTGATCATTTCAAGGCTTTCTTTTAAACTTAAAAGGACCAGAACAGGTTTTAGTCGAAGGCCCCACAGCTGAGACGATACCTCTGAGCAGTCTACTCAGTGCCCCGCTAATTATAAAATTTTCAGCTCTGGTTGGTGCGAAAGGGCTCCATTCCCTGTCCTTTGTGATCTCTAGGAATTGTTCCCTCTAATCCTTTCAGATAATTCTTGCCCTGGCCTCATGTAGTTCCCTCATATGCATCCACTGATCAGTATACATCTGAAGACGCAAAGGAGTTCTATAGAACTCCAGCATTCTCTGTGTAGCTCTCTTCTCCAGTATTCCACTCTGTGGATTCTAGCTTCACTAGTCTCTTTGGGATCCCAAGACCATCTTTTCTATTAAGGAATACTGCTGGGGTCCACCAGTATTCCCTTTCCCAATGCTATGGCCTGAAATTCTCTCCAGGCAGTAAGCTAGGGGCAATTCTCATTGCCCTGCCAACCCCCTCCCCTTTCACAAATCACTATCATGCACTGCCTACCGCCCAATGTCTGAAAATCATTTGGTTCAAACACTTGGTCAAGTTTTTCACTTGATTTCAAACCCCGATTTTAGTGTGCATTTTCTGGAATTCCTGGAATCATGGATGTTAACTCTTAGGTGGGCTTTTTAGAAATCATCTAAGTCCATACCTCCCGTTTACCAGGGAAGGAGCTGAAGTGGGAGAAAGGAGCCGCCCAAGTCTGTGGTGGTCTCCTGACTTCTGATGGAAGTTGTTTTCAAAGAAGTAAGCTCATGGGAGGAAAGGGAAAAAACTAACTTCAAATAAAGGCTCCCTTGTGTCAAAGAGAAGGTAGAGTCGCGTTGCTCTCAGTGCCTCACCAGCCGCCTCATTCCAGCATCTGCTGTTTTTTGTGCCTTCCGTGTTGGCCCTTTACCTCAGTTTCTACATCGATAATGTAGAGGCTTCAATTCCCTCCAGTCAATCTCCTAGAATAATTGAAGGATATTATTATGGAATCTCAGAACCAGGAAGAGGCAGAGAGCGGAGAGCTCATACCCCAAAGACTTCCCAAGAGAGACTGAAGATCATCTGAGCCAAAATATCAACTTGTAAAATCGGAAACGGGAACAGACAGGTTCACTGGTTCACCCAGACACGGCTAAGGTCTTGGTTTTGCACTCAGGATGCCCACCTCTGAAAAATGATGTGCTTCAGTGTGAAATAGTCAGCTCTTAATGATGTTAAATTTGAATATGCATTCAGCTCACTACATCATTTACCCCCAAGAACTACTCCAAACCCTGCTGGAATTTTGTATCATAAACTTTTCCAAGTCTTTTTGTCCATGTTTTCAGAGCTCTTATAGTAATGAACAGGTTTTACTTGTTCATCCATGCAGCAGAGTAAAATTCCCAACAGGGACCTGAGTTCACTGTGAGAGGAAGTTTTTGGAAAGGCAGACAAGTGTCAGAGAGAAAGAGGAGGAAGAAGGAAGGAAACAATGAAAGCAATAGCCTATTTTTCAGGTCACTTAAAAAGCCTCCAATTGGACACTGAGCAGATTAGTAGCTGTTTTTCTTTGCTTTTAGTACTTTCAAAGGAAATGCCCCCTCCCCATTTACTTGAACACAATACTAAGCACACACTTCTCCGCACGTAAATAGTCAGGCCGTTCCAGGTTTTGATACACGAGGCAACCTTGGCTTTGCCTTGTTGATTAGTCATCACAATGGGACCTTTCACTGAAGGACCACATGGTTCCGGGCAACGTGACCTAAGATCTGGCAAAGGCTCCAGGCAGCACAAAGGAACGGAACTTGTCTTTGTGCTGTGAGTGCAGCATCAGTGTTTGGAGTTACTTACAATTGCTACTTGGTTCAAAGCTCGAGCATCGATCTGAGCCACTCAGCTGTACTTTTTCACCTCTCTCCTAGCAGTTCCTCAGTGGCCAGAGCTAAGCCAGGCTCCTGGGCAAAGGAGGAGATGGGGCCAGAGCAAAGTCCTGGGGAAACATACAATATGTGCATATAAAGATATGTTACAATGGTCAATAAACCATCCCTCTGCACCGTACCTTGGTAATTATTTTAACTTCTTTTGTAAACTCGTAAATTTTCAGAAATTGTTGAATTAAGCAGAGTCTGAAAGTGGAACATTTTCCACGTAAATAAAACCGTGGGAAAATGAAATTGTTTCCTCCAGAAGAACCTCATGGCAAAGTACACCTTGTATCCAACTAAAGGAAGAACTATTTCAACTACTGTCTTTAAGGCAGATTCACTGGATGTTATTTAATACTCCCACACTGCCTGTACAGCCTGAGGTGGTACCTCTCAAGACTTTTTATCCAGCCTGTAGGAAAAGGCTTCAGTTTTGGCTGGAAGGAGGGAACAGGGTACAGCGGGGCTGGGGTGCTTTCTCCATTGATTGGTCTTTGCCTCTTCATGAGGAGAGTAGAATGCTCCCCAGACCTTTTAAGACAGCAACCCCAGAATACGGGAAGGGCCTGATGTGCTTTCTAAACCATAAACAGATCCTTACGTTCAGCACAGTTTGGGGGGCTAATTAAAAATCGTACTCATCATGTGTAGTCTAATGAACTGTGTGTACTCTGGACACACTGTTATTCTCCATTATCAGTTTTGCTGAGGACCAGCTTCCAAGAAAATCTAGGCTATGAGAATATAAATGATAAGATAAACAATATTTATCAAATCCTTCCTTTAGTCTCAGCTCTTTACACGTGCAGTATCTCATTTAATGCTGAAAACAATGCCTTGAGGAGGGGACCAGTATATCCCCTACCTTACAGAGGAGGAAATGGGCTCAGAGAGGTTAAGGAAGTGGCCCAAGATCACAGGACCAAGAGCCAAGATTCAAACGCAGGCAACGCAGACCCACAGACCATGCACTTAGGCACCAGCTATTGTGGGTATAGTCAGGGAACAGGAGCAGGAGACAGAAAAAGAAGAAGCATGGGGCATGGGGTTGTACTGAAGGTGAGACTTGGATAACATTCCCTGTGAATCTCCCAAAGCCAGAAGGGAGAATTCCACTCCACTTCTACAGACTGAAATAATGCAGAGAAAATTAAAAGACAAAAACCCGCTCAGAAGGAGGGGAGAGAAGAGTGTTGATGGCAACATATCAGTGAGATAGATGCTGTGGTTTATGCTCTTTGTCTTTTCTCTCTGGCTCCCCTAGCAACAGTGAAGTAATATCAATGTTAACGCAAGTAACGTGCTGACTTAACTGTTTCTCCAGGCAGCATCACTGCTAAACAGAAACGCTTGCTGATTTCTGCTCCGTTAAGCACGGGAAACATCATCAGAGTCTGCCCAGTGGGAAAAAAGACAAAAAGCAGACAGAAAAATGTTTAAATTTCAAGGTTATGTAAGAAGAGAGAAGAAAGAACAGGTTGTGAAATTTCTTTTTTTTTTTTTTTAATACTAAGCTACTGACAAAATCCTAAGACTCACCAACACAGCAAAGGAAGGAAAGGTGGGGCACTGAGCCTGTTTTGCCACAGCATATTGCTGCTGCTGCATTTTTCTAGAGTGTCTGAAAATATCAGGCTTTAAAATACATATGCATTATTTTTTGAGACGTGTGTGTCTATAGCCTCAGGGTTAAGAAACAACTCTGTTGCCAGGAGCTCATACTATAGTCGGTGTAAATTGTTTCCCCTCCTTATGTATAACGTTTCTAATTAGGACTATTATGGAGGATGAGTTTGGGGGCTGTTGAATTGGCTCTTTGTGCTAATTGCAAACAGAGGGCTCTGTACTGGCCTGTGCTCGCTGACCTGCTTCTTCGAGACCTCACTCTATGGGAAGGGTGACCCCGAGCCCGCTCCGGATGTCCCATATTGAGAAACACCCGAGGGGGCGTGCTTTCACCCTCTCACCACACCTGTCATTAAAAACATCTTTCCAAGATACATGAACAGACAATGATGGGTTTCTAGTCTGCCGTTTTACTCTAGTAAGACCTTTATGTTATGATGTGATTTCTTTTGTGTTATGACTCCTACTCATTTTGTGCAAAACATAGGATTTAAGCTATGTTAAGTAGTTCAAAATGAAGTCACAATGGCCAGTGTGAGCTTGCATGTTAGTTGTTTTGAAATGTCTGCTGCAGGACTGCGAGCATCTTAGAGTGATAAACTAAGAGCATTGCTTTAGATAAAGAATTTATTTGGTAGCATTTGCAGAAAGATTTCACTGGATGGAAGGATAGTGTCAAGACCCTAGGGTGTAACTTTTACACCGATGGCAGACTCCTTAAAAAGAGACCACTGGACTCTGTGGGAGAAGGCGAGGGTGGGATGTTTCGAGAGAACAGCATTGAAACATGTATATTATCTAGGGTGAAACAGATCACCAGCCCAGGTTGGATGCATGAGACAAGTGCTCAGGCCTAGTGCACTGGGAAGACCCAGAGGGATCGGGTGGAGAGGGAGGTGGGAGGGGGGATCGGGATGGGGAATACATGTAATTCCATGGCTGATTCATGTCAATGTATGACAAAAACCACTACAATATTGTAAAGTAATTAGCCTCCAACTAATAAAAATAAATGGAAAAAAAAAAAGAGAAACCACTAGCCTGTAGATTCGAAGCCTCTTCACTGGAGGGCCCGATTCTACAATGCTGAGAGCCTTGTGGGGCCAGCTACCCGAGGCTCTGTCGGAGCTGAGGGTTACTTCTTCCCACTCCCACTTATGGACCTGCTCCTGGGCAGGGGACCACTGCTCCTGCTGAAATGCTTCCTTCCAGGACTTCTCCTTTGAATGACTGTTACCCCCTTTTCTGTTTTCCTTCCTTTGACAAACCCGTGTTATGGGTTAATTGTGTACAAGAAACCGAGTGACTTGTGAATTGAATGTTGGCTATGTTTCTTATATCTGCAGTCCTGAGATTCTCACCTGGCCTCACTGCTGAGCACTTCAACAAACACTTTAATTGCAAGAGTCCAACCTGAGTTCACTTCTCTAAGAGGGAACTGTGTACCTAAAAGGAGTAAGGTGAGCCGTAAACACTGGCTCCTCACTCTGCATTGAGAGCTATGGGAATGTCCTACTTTGCTGTTTGTGGAGTGAGAGTGAGCCAGGCTTCCACTCCCCGTGGCGCTGAGGCCTTGGAGAGAGGCTCTGACACAGAGGGTATGGCTATCCCTGCTCCCTGTGTCTCTGTGCAGGTCTGAGACACTGGAGAAATCAGTCCTCAGCCACCTGAGGAGCAGGTTGTGAGCAAGTGATTTCCTTCCATAGGTCAACCTCCCTCATCCTTTTAAGAACTACTTCAGTGATGCTAGGCCCTGTGCCCTTCCTGGGTCTGGCTGTGGTGGGAGAGGCAGAAACACAGTGTTGACTTGTCTCAGAGATCGCCACAACCTTGCCCTCGGAAGACCAAGTAAAGATTCATTGTTGATCTAAAAAAAATTTTCAAAATTTTCCTCTGTGAAACCTGGAGTCACCACGGTACCCAGGAGATGTCAGGGTTTCACAGAGGGCAAGGCTGGTCCTGAAAATCTTCCCCCAGGGGATTCTGATCAACTCAGATGAGGTGAAGTTAGCGGTCTTAGGCCGGCTTCCCATGCCCCAAGCCACTTGTATCACTGCCTTGTCCAGGCTGCGGAGTCAGAAGAGCCCAGCCCCCAGAGCCAAAGCCACCCTGGAAGGAGCCCAAGAGGGGGCCTGCGAGTCTGATACCGCCAGAGAAAAGCCCTGTTATGGAGGCCCCGAGGCAAACCTCAGCAACAGGCAGATCCCTCTGCCCACTTGTCCATGGGCAGCTCCCTGGGGACTGGAAATGGAACAGGGCAGTAGGGCCCCGGAGCCAGCAGGACATGGGGTTGTGGCTAGTCTGGCTGCAGACCAGGCCGAGGAGGCGGTAGTGGATTTCTGCTCTGAACCACAGAGGCCCTCGTGCCTTACGCCTGGTGGTTTCCCAAGGACCATCTGGCTGCCCTACCCTTGACCTAGTTTTCTACCTAAGCTGAAATGTGAAAAACAAGTATAGCATAGAGATTTCTCTAAGCAAACTTGCTCAGTTTTAAAGAGCTGCCATTTTTCTGGTACCATGTCCTTCCTATATTTTTGGTAGAAGAAAGATATTTTCTTTTAAGAAACAGATTGGGGCCTTCCCTGGTGGTCCAATGATTAAGAATCTGCCTTGCAATGCAAGGGACACAGGTTCCATCCCTGGTCCGGGAAAATCCCACCTGCCACGGAGCAATTAAGCCCGTGTGCCATAACTACTGAAGCCCGAGCGTGTGCGAGCCTGTGCTCTGCAACAAGAGAAGCCACTGCAGTGAGAAGCCTGTGCACCACCCCTGGAGAGTAGCTCCCCTTTCTGCAACTAGAGAAAGCCTGTGCGCAGCCTCAAAGACCCAGTGTAGCCAATAAGTAAATAAATAAATTCTTTTTTTAAAAAAAGAGATTGGATAATACACTAGAGGATAACATTTTTGGTTTTGCTTTTTCATATTCCTATTTATTAAAATAAAATATGGCAGTACTATATTTTTCCTCCACTTTCTGTGTGTGTGTGTATGTAGTAGATTAAAGATGGTCACAAATTCTTTGGCACTTCTCCCACTAAGAGATGTATCCAATTTGCTTCCCTTGGGATGTAGGAGGGCCTTAGTGACTTGCTTGGCTAAAAATGTATATGAAGTAATAAACTTAGTTTATTAAAAATACAGTCAATGTGACATTCAAGAACTTCTGAAGCAAAGTCACAGGAAGCCTTGTAGCTTCTTCCTGAGCCTCTTGGTACCCAACTGCCGTGCTGTTAGGAACCCCAAGCAGCCGTAAGAAAAGGCCCAGAGAGAGAGGAATCAGCGCCTCGGCCAATAGCACTGGGTGAGCTCATAGCTGACAGCCAGCACCAACTTGCCTGGAATTGAGTGAACTCTTCTGGAAGTGGACCCCACGGCTCCAGTGGAACTGCTACAGGTGATACCACATGGAGTGAAGATGAGTCCCCACCAAGCCCTGCCCAAATTACAGGTTTGTGAGGGAAATAAATGATTTTTGTTATTTTAAGCCACTGAGTTTGAGAATGAGTCTGTTACACAGAAACAGATAACCAGAACAGCTTGTTTGTTTAAATGGTTTGTGAAATTCAACAGTCAGATACCCACATTGTTTACCTAACATCTGTATTAGGCAAAATAATACCTTCCCCCAAAGATATCCAAGTCAGACTCTGCAACCCCATGGACTGTAGCTCACCAGGCTCCTCTGTCCATGGGATTCTCCAGGCAAGAGTACTGGAGTGGGTTTCCATTTCCTTCTTTAGAGCATCTTCCCAACCTTGTGATCGAACCCAAGTTTCCTGTGTCTTCTGCATTGGCAGGTGGATTCTTTACCCCTGGGCCACCTGGGAAGCCCTCAGATAACTAGGCCTGGCTCCTTCACTTTTTTGATTAGGGATGTACTACGTGTGGTGCTTCTGGCACTTTATATGCCCGAAATGAGAGCTGCAATTTGGTAATTATTTATATGAAGTCAGCCGTGTTGCATCATAGAATTCTTGGGTGTTTGTTATTTAGCCCAGAACCCCCAAGGACCCAAAGCTGAATATATAAGCAGTTTTTAGATCTGGTGGAGGGTTGGCTTCCAGGTGTGGGCAGAAATCCTGTAGGAAACCTCATTTCCTCCTCTGTGGGACCCAGAATTCTCAGTAGTTTGCTGTTTGAAACACCTCTGTATCAGTTGCTTGAGTTCTAGTTTGAATACCAGCCCAACTTGTCCTTTCCTACAGTTATTAGCATTTTGGACCTTCTGTCTCTAGTGTAAGTGGTTGCTTTTTGTTAAGAGAATTTGGGACACAGGTAGAGAGGGATCCCACACGTCACAGGCCCAAGCGTGGAATCCTGCTGCTCACCAGCACCACCAGCTCAGTGGGTGTGCTTCAGCTGTCTCAAGATTTATTCTCCAAACAAGTCCGCTCTGGTCCAGACTCAGGGAGAAGAAATGGTGTCATAGAGCTGTGAGCCAGAGCTTCGTGGGGGAGAAGATCAGTAAGGAGAGAAATTGCTCTGTTTATCAACCACCATTTCTTTCTGCAAACTGCAGGACAAGATATAAGTGAAAAAAAATTACTTTTTACATCTCTAGCAGTGCTTTCAGAGGTAGGCCAGTTCTGGTCTCTCGTCAGTAGAGACCGCCCTTCTCAAATGCACAATGACCTTATTCAGTATTTAGTGCTGGAGCAACTTTTTACTCATAAAAATGTTCAAGGTCTCTGCTAAGAACAGGGAATGAATTAGTACTCAGGAATTTCTCTGCACATGCCAGGCCATTTAAAAAAATTGCCACTTTGATGATTTCATCA